TATTTTCAACAAGCAAACCTAATTGAGTTTTTCTCACTACAAATACAAGCAATTGATGAGCAAATAGAATTCTAGCGAATGTGCCAAGTGCATAATCCCATCCGCCATCATTATTGGCCTCAATAATCCGCTATTAGCCCGCAGCATTTCTCTACAGCAATCGGATTTTGCTGTTGCGCGCTGCTCTTGCGGTTTTGTGGAGATTGATTGCTATTCCTTTGATCTCTTGGATATTTTTTACAAATATTGTTTTCTAGGCCGAAAAATATTTCTTTTTCAAAGAAAATACAGTTGGGTTGGATGTTAAAAGTTTACTCCAACTAAAGAGTTTATTTTATTTTTGTAATGAAGGCATATTTCTGTAAATTTAGATAGCAAGTGTAGTATACAATTACTTCCAATTAACATCAATCATTTCCTCAAATGATTTATTAAAAATGAAATTTTAACAACTTTATTGTTCCTGTACAATCTTTTCACTTGTATTACAAAAGAAAGCTAAAAATTTATCCGATTTTTTCCTCTATTTCTTTAGTTTTCTCCTTATATACTATATATACTTTATATATGACTGGTACTTATTCTCTTTCTCCCATATTTCCGCTTCCTACTCTCTTTCTCTTCCTTTTTTTAAACTTCACATATCCTTAGTCATCTATAGAAAATAAAGTTTATTGAATCCAAAATAAGTCTTCTGTATTGATACTAAAAGATGTTCAATAATAAAGTACTTTTTTTTCTTTCATAATCACTCTTCGAATGTTTTTTTAGTCCTTCTTCAATATATTTATTTTTCGCTTTCTTTTCTTCTTGTTTCTCTTGCTCTTTGCTCGTTATGCCCAATGAAGTTACTACCGTAGAGATTTCCAGGTGTTTCGCTCATTTTCTTCACGATTCAAATAGATGCATTAGCGTTTATTTCTTTATATTGATATCGACCTAATGCAGTTTCAATTAAATACTACATTAACGAATCATCATCGGTTTCACTCAGTCTTACTTCTATTATAGCTTAAGTGCTTTTACTCCACGGCTAGGCCAAGGAATCTACAGTATTTGACACATTAATGAATTGTATGAGGTGACAAGTTGTGTAAAGAGAGTTTTAGGAACCATTTGATCTTTGTTAGGTCTTCCTCTGCAATTTAGTTTTCGTCGTAGAAAAAGAAACCCCTATAAATGTAAGAATAAAGTAAATCAAAAAAAAAAATTTCGCTTAAATAACGGACTTCCCTTACCTTTCATGGTGCGTCATTATCAGGAAACAGCAAGAGTTTTTCTTTCCAGTCACGAATCCAGTTTTTTTTTTCACTATTCCACAGTCTCTTAAATTATATAAAATATACATATATACATTCCATATGACTTTCTAAATGTGTTTTTATTTACTTCTTTTTCAGGTGTTTTACTCAAATGCGACCCTGAGGCATCCTGCATTTATTATGAGCATTTGCTCGGATCGTATGGTGCATATATTATCCACAATTGCCTTAACCATAAACATATTTCTCATACAAATGGCTGGTTTGTCTTTTTTTATATTTTATTCTTTCCGTTTCTATACAATGCACATATGAAGAGAAAAATCAAAGCACATACTGTTATTAGAAGTATTATATTAGTACAAAAAATAACGACTGTTTAATATGGGATATGTGTTATATACTTTGTTTAAGGTATATAATAACCATTTGAAAATTAATACTTTCATTAGGTATTGCGTGCAAGAGTAAGACCAAACCTAAACTTAATATTAAATATAAAGACTCTTTCTCTCTCTCTCTCTCTCTCTCACACACACACACACACACACACACACACACACACACACACACACACACACACTCTTTCTTTCTGTCCTTATTTCTTTCATTTATTCTTCCTTCCTCCCTCTTTATATATTTACATCTCTGTCTATCAAATTTTTCAAATTGTACTTATTTATTACGTAATTAGATCAATTTTATTATTAACTTAATTATATAAGCAGTACAAGAAAACTTTCAAGTCATCTTATTTTTTATTATTATTACTCTTTGTTTGGCTTCCCTCGTAGTCTTAGTAAAAAAGCTTTTCATCTTTAGAGCCTTAAAAAAAAGAAACAAAACTAGTGACTCCCTCTAACGATTTCCGCTCAGTTTTCCATTTTCTAAAAGAGGTTTAACGAAAAGGAAATGTTAGAATCGAATACAAAATATTCGTGAACTTTTTAGCTCCTAACTGCTTCCGGAAAGAATAAGATGAAATAGGGTTATAATCCTAAGAGACTCTAGAAAAGGAATAAATTAACGTGACGGGGAGCTAGTCTCTCAGCTAGCCTCTCTCTCTACTTTTCTTCCAATCTCCATTTGTTTTCCTCTCTGAATATTTTCAGAGTAATAAAAATAGTTAATTATAAAAGTAATTTCAATAGACTTATATATATATATTAAAGATAAGGTGCACTATCAAAATCATAGTAATATTGACTAAATGCAAACTAATCGGATGAATATTATGAATTTTTCACGTTTATTGATAATATCGAACGCTTCTAGAGTTGTTTCTATAGATTTTATCTCAATCCATCAACATAAGCGCTAGAAAAAATTTCGCTAATCAACTTTCCTATAGCGAATTTAGGATGCTCATAAACTTTTTTTTGTATATCAAATAGTAAGTGAACAGCATATTATATTACTGTAAAAAAAATATTAAATTACAATGATTTATTACACTAGAATCTCATTTCTTTTTTTAATTTACTATCACATTTACAAGGTTATGCGATATCTATCTGAAAAATTTTCTTTAAGTAAGCTTCTTAAGTTTACATAAAAATATTATATAGTATACCTTACCTTCTTTCTTCTTTCCTTCCCTTTTTCGTGTATAATTTCCTTTTTCACTTAGTTTTAATACTTATTAACGTCAAAAACTCTTTTATACTTTTACCGCCTTTAACTTTTTAGTACTTAATTAAAATCAATTCATTTTATATATAAATAATATTTGCTTATTTATTAATGGAAAAAAATAACATTTTTATAAGGTATACTTTCTATTTTTTTAAGTAGAGTGATTGAAGGTAGGAGAGATAAAGAGAGAGAGAGAGAGAGGAAAGCATGAGAAACTGGGTTCAAGTATACAAACATACCGTATATTTAATTTAAAGATTGATAGTTAATTAGAGAGAAAAAGGTATGGAGGAAGAGATAGGTAATCTTGCTAATACACGTTTCAATTTTCATTGATGCATTTCTATATACAGTAGAAAACATCTTTATCATATATATATATTAATATATACATGTACATTAATCTAAATTTATTCACATATACTTTTATAAGTTAATACACTACTTTTATTAATAATCATATTACATTTATATAATTTTATATAGTATTATTATATAAACAAGGCTATTACTTCGCATTAGAAGGATAGAGAAGAGATGTTTTAATTACTGTGCTCACTTTTATGAAAAATGAAAGAAAGGAAGAAAGAAAGAAAACACCTATTTTAGTATATTAAATAGTAGCATAAACAATTTGGAAATATGGATATAAACATATTGAAATTTAAGCCTATCTCTCTTCTTTTCTCTTCCCTTTTTCAAAAATTCACTTTAATTAGTTTATAATGTTTGTATCAAAAAAAATCGTTCCTTTTTTTTGTAAATATCAATAATATTTTTCACGCTTTTTAAATGGGTAAAGAAAATGCACCCAATTATTGCTTATTGATCATATGTATTGATTAGCTAACACGTCACGCTCATTACCCACTCGCCTTTCCTTTTAATATAATCACATCAAACGATTGAAACGTTCTAGGTGTTTTGGAAAAAAATTTTCTTCCCTCTCAGAAAAAGACTTTTTTCTAATTTATATTCATTAGGCCTAGTTTGTCATAAATCCTAGTAGTTATTTGCTAGTGTGGCGCTGTACTGTGTACATTGCCGCCAAAAAAAGAGATCATTGTGTACATAAATCAGATTGAGGAACGCCATTCGAAATGAGTGTAGCGGATTAACTTTTGCATATTTCTCTTCATATGTTTTTCTCGTGACTAGATTTTAATCCATCTTAATAAAATCATGTCTGCAGATGGAAAATGTAACAAGGAGCAAGCTGAATTTTGTAGAAATGCAGGTAAGCACATTTATATTTAATAGGAAAATAGCGTATATACTTTTTACTTTCTTCATCACTTAGTAAGAGGAAAATATCGTACTTAGAGTAATAATTTTCCCTATATCCATATTCCTCTTCTCCTATTTGTTACCTTTGAAGAGAAAATATTAAATCGTAGACTGTTTCATCATTTTCTTTCTTCTTAGCATCTAAAAGCAATAAAAACGCTTCCTACTTTGACAATTCACTTTATAAGAAAATATAACATTTTATAAAACTAGAAATTCATTGGGGATAAATATTCTAAAAATGATGGCCATTGGCTAATTAAGCAATATCTCTTCTTTATTAATGTATATAAATATGTTCTGTATAAAACTTTGCCTTATTAAAAGATCATAAAAAATGAGGAAAAAGAAGAGATATCGAAGAATATATTGTTTGTGTTTAGTAAACTTTTCTGTTTCTTTCATAATTCGACTGTTTCTAAAAATAACTAGTAGTCCTTTTTATACAAAAACATAACTTATAAGTATTTTCTCATACACAAAAATAAAAAATATATACACAGATAGCATGTACTTGTTCATTATATATCGTCAAGTCACGTGACAACACCATAGTGATGTTGCTGGCGGCGGTTATAATATCACAATTAATTTTCTTTTTTTTTTTTTTTTTTCGTTAATTTACTTCGCAGCCAGAAACAATTTGGAAGGCGGAAGTCGTGGTAAGATAAATTTCATGGTGTGCTATCTATATAAATGAAAAAGTACAGTATATATATATATATATATATAAATTTATATATAGTATATATATATTTATATGGAAAAAACTAATAAAATTAACTGAAAATATATGTTTTCCGTAAAATTATAGTCTTTACTTTGTGCTCTTCTATCTCTTAAAAAAATCCATATAATTAACGATATTGCTAAAAGTATATCTATTAATAACAAAAAAAAAAATATTACACCTAAGTTTTCTTTCCGCCGCCACCACTAAACATACTATTCTAATAAAAAAAAAACATACCGAAAGATTTCTCCTAATTGTTATTATTAGTTATTTTTCATTTGTAGCCTCTTGTTTCTTTTTTTATTCCTTTTCTTTTCTCTAACCTTCTCAGTCCAATATTGATTACAGTCATCGTGATTATAGCAATAACACAATGAATTATTAATTTCCTGATTAACTAACATAATTTTATAAGATACTTAAAGTTTATTATTTTGTTTGTTTTTTCGCTTTTTATCTCGCTTCTTTCCCTTACATTTTGTACGGTTGCTTTATCCCCACTTTCCTCCCTTATTTTTTAATGAAAATTGAACTGTTCAAAATGTTGATGAAAAATAGAAGTTGAATAATTCAATATATAGTTCTAAATAAATTATAGATAGTTTTGTTTTTCAATAGTCTTTCAATTTTTGCTTCTTTAATTATTTGAAAATTGAAAAGAAACGTTTTTAAAATGAGAATAAAGAAAAATTAATTAGTTGGTAGGGTATAATGAATTTTAGAATAGTCGGTGTTTTTATATTGCTACTGAATATTTATAAAGCAGCGAAGATTGAATGTTAAATAAGGATAAGATCGAAAAGTACTTTTAAAACGAATAAAGGATAAAGAAAGAAAAAAATTCAATTAAGTGGAAATGAAATTCAATAGTATTGAAGTTTTTCTAATAAATATTTAAATAAAATTGTATTGAATGAATCAGAACTATTTTTCATCAGTCTATTTATCGGATTATATATTGGCTATATATTTAACGGTTGAGATGCAACTACATTCTATAATAAAAAAGATTTTTTTTCTTTATTTCTTTGATGACAGTGACAGAAAATTCACTTCATGCAATATCACCAGGCGGAAAATGCGATATTCAATCTTACGCTGATGGATTGTATACACACGAGTGCAGAGTAGCATCCTACAAACCCCAAATCGACTATTGCTGCTGTCAGTTTAAAAAAAAGGCGATGTGTTGTTTATACCATCAGACGTGGGACAGGTTTAGATGTAACGAAAAAGAGGACGTAATCGATACTTTTCCGTGGAAATATAACGGCCATTATGGGTCAAATGGACCGTATAAAATGTCCCTTCCGTTACTCGTAGCTTTACCGATCTCAGCCTTGCTGTTACTTTTGTGTATAGGGGCATCAGTTTATTACTATAGAAAGAAGAAAAAGGCGAAGCGATATGAGAAAGATAGCGAGAGTTGGTGTTCGTGTTCAAAGTGTTATGAAGGTTATTTGCTTTTTGTTTTTTTTTCTTCCAACAAAAACAAAAGTAAAAAATAGAAAGCTTTTACAGAGAAAAGCTATAAACGAAACATATCAGCGTATAATCTATTAGTATAAACTAATATTTCCTGCTTTATATAATAGTCTCATATATTAATAAGGCTTGAGCCGATACGATATATGATTTCTGGCAGGGATTTGAGTCTATTGGGAAGAGCATATTGGTAACTAATACTGAGATATCGATTACGAAAAATTCTAATAATCCCACAAGCTTTTATCAGTAGTATTTCTAGCAAAAGTAACTATTAACCTTTAAGCGATACAAAATCGATCCATCTAATCCATCTTCGTTTCCAGTGAAAAAGTATACTTGTGATATTTAAATTTTTACCCCTTTCAAAATAATTAGTAGATAAAGGTAAAGTTTATTATTTGCTTAAGCTTCTAAGAGAAATGCTACTTAGTGTTGTTTATGTAAAGAGAGAGAGAGAGAGAGAGAGAAAGAGAAATAGAGAAGGAGAAAGAAACTTCCATGAGCGATAATTTTCTCCTTTGAACGCCTAGAAATTTTCCTCTCTCTTTCTGGGTCCCTCCCCTCTGGTTACCTCTATTAACTAGCTTCACTAATTAGTTTCGTTTGTTATTCATCAAACAGAGTCCGATACGGCAGACGATGAAGACGATAAAGACGACTATTCTAACGTTCGAAAAACAGCGCCATCTCCCGAAATTGATCGTCGCTGCTCGGGACCAGTTGGGCTATTAGGATTTCCACTGCATACTTTCGAGGAACAATACCCTGGTCCACCTCAAAGAAGAAATGATGATAATGAATTCTTTCCAGTTAGACCAACGGCTCCTCCTTTCGAGCCGGATTTCCAAAATGATAATTTAAAAGAGGGATTTCCTTCAAACATGTGCGAAGGGGAGAACGTGCAATATGTTGCCGAATCCTTTAGAGGACTCTTACCGCCTCCATTATACGAGGAAGTTCGACATCATCGAACAGCTCCTGAATGCTAAAAATAATTAATTAATTTTAAAGTCATTTAGTCATGAACTGTAGAAAAATATGCGCATTTTAGATTTCTTAACAAATTTCGTTCTGATTTCCTTTTATTTATTTGTTTATTTTGTTATATTAATATTATTTTTTCGTTATTTCTTAAAATTTATATTATCAGGAATTATCTCTCGTCTCGAATGATAAAAAATGAATTGAATAAACTAGTTTAATCCTATTTAAGACCACTAATCTCGATATATATATAGACTATGTAGTGATCTATATATTCACAATATAAAGCATTAGACATATAGATTTTTAAAAATCTATGCTTCAACTTTTCGTTATTATTTTTTCTTATTAACATTTCCAGACGTCATTGACATGCCTAAAATAAAACTGGTAGGCCTTAAATATTCTTAAGAAAATAACACAATATATAGATGGCGTCACCAGTATAAGGTTATTAAAACATTAGATTTAATAGGAAAACTACTATATCTCTAAAAAAAGACTAGTTATACGCTTTTAAAGTTTATATTAAATTTTTACTTCATAATTGATACAATTAAGGATAAAAGAGTCAAGAAATAAGAAATTAATTTCTCCCTCTTTACGCTGTTTTGTTAACTTATTAAAATATAATAATATAAAAGAAATTCTCAAGTGATCTCATCAATCCTTTTTAAAATTTCTTACAACGAGTATGGATAACCCTTCCAATGATAATTTATCAGCTACAACCTCGACGGCCAATACAACCGTCGTAACAGATTTTCCAGAAATTCGCATCACAAATGTCGAAGAGAGCAACTCAATTGATAATCGACAAACGGGAAGTTTATTAAAGGAAGTGGACAGGTGTAACAAGAGAAAGAAATCTTTTAAACAAGAAACGAAAGAGTTAGAAATACTAAATTTAAAAACCAAAGAATTGGAAAAAGAATATAAAAATAATCAAAAGATAAAGATTAAAACTAATCATTCGAATACAAAGCTACGAAAGTTTTTTAGTAATTTTAAACAAGGCTGTGCGAAAAGATTTTGCTGTTTAAGACGTTAAGAGAAAGGGGACACGAAGAGAGAGAGAGAGAGAGAGAGAGAGAGAGAGAGAGAGAGAGAGAGAGAGAAGAGGAAGGAGGAAAAGAAGGAGAAGGAGGAGGAAGAAGGACTTATACAGTTCTTTAATGTTTTCTTTAATTATAAAGATTAAAAAGGATTTATTGTTATAAATGCCTATTCAATATATTCTATTCTTTCTCATTATTTGTATATTAGTAAAGTTAAATATATCTTAATACATTTCTCAGAATGAATATTAACTTTTAATGACGATTATTAGCAATATTTGTATATCAATATCTCTTGTTCTATTTAATAAATTGAACACAGTCTGTAAATACACTTTGACTAGATTCTTTATAGAAACGTGAATATTTATACTTTTTCATATGAAATGTATAGAAAATAATGTACCTACTTGTTTTACAAGCATAGATAGTCATACTTATTTTAAGTATGAATGATAATATGTTCGACGTAATATAAACAAAGCTTTAAATAAATGTTTCTATAAGAGATTATTACAAATCGATAGATATTCTTTTTTTATCCTTCATAACAACTGCAATACTCAATTTAATATACAGAGTATACAATCTATATAGCTTATTATATTACTATTGCTACTGTACATGTTTAAATAATCTTATAATTTTTATAATACTCTCTCCTTTACTGATTTATATAATAGTACATAAATGATAAAGCAACTAGTTAAAAGATATTCTACCATTTAATTTACAAATTGCCATAAAGTTGAAAATATTGCTTTCTTTTAAAATTATTAGTTTTTCAGTTAGTAGAATAGATACGAAATAAGTTTATTACATTGAACAGTAAAAATACATAGTAGTTTTTATATTAAATGTTATATAGGTGATATCTAATACATAGCGTTGTTTACAGTAGACTATATTTCTTTCTTTTGCCTCTTTGTTCATATGTCCGTACTTGGACAATAATAATTACTTTATATTTCTCTTTTAGATTATATTCAGATCACTCATTTTGTACAGAATAAACTATTCTCTTGTCTTTTTATATACGCGCGAGTATATTTGGACTATATCTGCTATACAAGCTGTAAAAACTCTTGTATAAATTATACTAAATATCTCTACGGAGAATTTTATATTGTCCATCGTTTCTCTGAAAACTGATTCTGTTTTATCATTATATTGTAGTACTGTAAAATTTTGCTTAATAAGCTTAAAATCCTCCTTCTGGTCATTAAAAAAGACCTATACTATTGATAGAAACTTGTAGAGGTATAATGAGCGTATGAATGTTTACATAGATTTTTTGTTGAACAATTAGATAGGATCAGTAAAGTAGTTTTAGGTTTTCAAGAGTACATCCATATATATATAAATTAGTATATGACTATAGAGTAAATAGATATTTACATTTGTAAATTGTTTATATTCTTTTAATCTATTGTTAAAACTCTTAAACGTTTATTTTGAGATGAAAGTAATTAGGTTACAAAATATACAATATTAATTTTTGGTAACAAGAGAGAAAATTTAACTTTGTTGAAAAAATTTTTGTCTAAAATCACTAAGAAAGATCAAATATAATTGTTTTCATGTTTTTATAATTGAAGTATCGCTTGTTGCTCTTTTATAGCCAACTGAGGAATAGTTAAATCCTTTCTTTTGACACTGTTTTTTATATAACAAAACTGCTAATGTTATAAAACCAGCAAATACCATTGCGATTAGTACAAAAATAAATCCTCTTGCAAAGGGAGAAGAGTAGCTGTGATGCTGGATTTGACGATCAATTGTTCTATGTACTTCTCTGCTATAAATAACTCCAACATCCTCATAGAATGGGATGAAAGTAGTGCCATCAGACTGGATTGACACATGACTTTGACTACGTAGTTTTTCCTGTATAGAATGAAAGCTATAAATATGTTATTTAGATAGAAAATTACATTACTCTAAATTCTTCAACAGCTTGAACAAGGTTAATAGCCGCAGAAGGAAGTTTTGCTAGGTCGACATCTAATTGTATATACGTACTATCCGGTTTCATGATAATAATATCGACAACTCTAAAATTAGATTCAACGAGACTTTTCAATTTCTTTGTCACAGCCTTTTTAAAATGCTCAATGTTCATATTTTTAAGATCTTTAATCTTATCATGATAAAAGTTTATTCTTAATTTTATTGTATGTACGTTGTCTTCAGCTGAAAGAATTAATAAACTCAATTAATTTATTTCAATTAGACTTGAAGTTAGACATTTAAAGGAATTTAATTTTCTTTTAATATTTACCAACGCATACTACAAAAGGTCTATTATACCTCTCCATCGCTGCTTCGCAAACAAACCCCAGGTCGCATTTGTGACTCTAGAAAATAATTAAAAGGGTATAATTAACCAACTATTATTGTTACAACTCACATTGCATGGATTATGTCTACACTTGCAAATAGGACACCCAAAATCATTTGTTGCTCTACCGTAAGGGCAGTATATCTGACACTGAACATCTTTACACTTTTCCCTTCTGTTACCGCAGACAACTTCACAATCGTTCTTTTCATTGAAATTATTACTATTGCCACCCAAACCAGAATATGTAAATTCCACACATTGGTTGCCAATCGGGTCATAAGCAAATCTTTGGATAGCAGCGTATCCATCACCGTATAAAACTGGCAATGTACATCTACTACTATAAAATTTCGCTAGAATGGTTGTAAAATTTAATTTAATTAATCTCTGAACGAAATTGACGGTAATTATCTCTACTTACGAACACAAACTGAGTCTATAAATTGTCCTGCATATGACTTTGATTCCAGAGGAGAGCATTTTTCATTTTTTCCACATTTCTTCTTCTATAAAAATAAGAATATCTTTTTCTTAATAAGGTACTATGAATAAATTTATAAGAATTACGTGGCACGGATCTGGTAGGCATTTACAAGTTGAACAGCCTTGGATGTATTCAGATCCAAATTCGCATTCGCAATGTGGATCTTTCAATTTTGGACATGTACGTTTAAATATTTGTCCAGAATATCCTGGCTCTGCACATTTACAAGTAGGACAACCTCGTAAATTTTCCTTAAATCCACCCGGACAGGATCTGTAATCACACTTTCTTGTCTCAAGATCATCACAATGTTCAGGAGGAAGGCATTGACAAGTTTTACAACCTACAAAACAAAGCTTTAATTCTCTATATCAGTTTAATAGCTAGTTATCACCATCTGTGGTAAAAAGATTTCCATATGGACATTCATGTAAACATTCTTGCTCTTCGCAATGAGGTTTCGGTTCTGAGAGAGAAAAAACTTAATTTTTCATATAAACAACAAAACTCTTCACTCACTTATTGTTGGTAAGCGTTGTGTACAATGCATTTCGCAAAGGTCTTCCTCAAGAAACCTATTACTGTTTCCATCACAGCCACCATATGTAAAAGTTTTACAAGTTTTCGAAATCGAGCTATTTGTTTCAAAAATGCATTTAATTGTGATTTTGAAAACTTTATGAACACTTACTCATAATAAAAACTTGAAATTGATGCTCTGCAGTTTCCTCTATCTACTGGTCTTTGACAAATATCACTAGTTTTAGGATCTAATGGTCAAAATACACTTATTATAATTTCAATTTTTTAAACTTCGCTTATTTCTAAGTCTCTTAGCTTACCATAGCAATGAGGTACTGGATCTGATTGGTAGGTTACATGAAACTGTTGGCATAGCAATCCCTCTGGACATTTATAGTCCTAATTCGTTTAAATAATTGAAATAAAAATGACTTTAAATTTAATAAAATAAACATACGTCACATCCTTTAAATTCATTTTCAACACATTCGCATAATTTACATCCATTTTTATCAATCTTATATTCATCGCACTGCTTGTTACATTGAGAATATTCGCATTGTTTGTGAAATACTCCTACAAATTGAAATTTAATTATTAATCATCTTAATAGGCATTATTAGTTGAATAACCTTGACATTCAATCTCACAAGCTTCTTTAGATTTGAATTGATTATCATTCCCACGACAACCCTTATATCTCATTTCTTCGCATTGTCCGTTCTCTAGATTAAAGTAGTATTTCTGAGTTCTATCCATAAACTTTGGCTTACAATATTCTCCTTCATCTTTGCTTTGTAAACAAATCTGATAGCTTGGTTCAACTGGAAACATTGTAAGGTATGATAATAATGTTTTACAATGTGTCATTGAAAATATGATTTTAATAACTCTTACGATAATTCGAGCAATTTTGCAAACAGTTTTCCATTGTTTCATATCTGTTTTCGTTTCCACCCTCTCCTCCGTACTTAAATGGTATACATTTTCTAGTTCCCTCAAAGAAATGCCACATTATCTTGTTTTGTTGACCGGTTCCTCTATCCAGAGCTTGAACGCAAGCATCAGGCATATCAGGCTCTTTAATTATTAAGTAAAAAATAGTGAGAATTACTAAATATAATATTAGAATTGTTTATACTATTCCTACCAGCGCAGATTGAGTAAACTTTGTCAGGTTGTGTAAAGCTACGACAAACTCGTCCAGTAGGACAAATTTCATCCTGTAAATGATAAAATAGTCATAACAAAAATAATAATGTTAATGTAATTCATGTTAAATTAATTTTGTAAAAGTTATTAGAATTTGCCAGAATCTAAAAACTATAAAAACTTTTGTAAAGAAGCGATTATACCTCACAAATATTTAATTTACATTCGCATGTGTCACAACCATATTGATCCAACCTTTTGCCCAACTTACACATTTCTGAGGGACATCGAGCAATAGGACAATCTTTCTCATCGAATGTTTCTATAGGAGGCATATTCAGACATTCTTGACGACATTCCGAAAGAGACACAAAATTATTTTCATTAGCTCCATCCCCACAACCTCCAAACAAAAATTTTTCGCACGAAGCCGATGTTACATTATAGAAGAAACGTTCAATTTCTTCTGTACAAATGCCTTTTTGTGGTTTATGAGCACATTCTACCTTAAATCCTTGAGCTGTCGAATTACATGTAGAGTTAAGCGATTTTATTTCATTTTTTATGACACGAAAAGAGAGAATCAGTTGTTTTTTCCAATTGAAATTAGTAAATAGAATAGAAAACTATTCCTACCTATTGCGTAAGAGCTGGGTATCAAACAAACGCTAATAATTAAAGCATTAAACAACAATTTCTTCATATTTTGCCTCATTCTGTCCTCGTTGAATAGGTAAATGTTAGAATGAACGGATCTGAATCATTGATAAGGATTGAGGTTAGACATTAGATAAGTGTTCTCCTTTGCTATAATGTTATTGACTTCATATTGAGCAGGTGATACGACGTGAGATAATTGAAGTCTACAAACATTACATCATATTAAAAAATAAAATAGTATTAATTAAAGATAAGATAAAGGCTTTATTCGTATTTTTACTTTCAATACAATTCAAATTAACGTCCATTTATAAATACATATTTATATAAATATACATAAATATATACATTTATACTGTAAATAAATGAATGACTTCGTGAAAGATATAATTTTTAATCTGACTAAATGATATTCAAAATGAAAATATTGAATGTATGTTTCTGTGGAAAATTATTGCCTTCGTCTTGTATTATTTCTGAATTTGTTTCTAAAATTATATACAGTATATACTGTATATATTGTTTGTTGATTCGTTCATATAAAGTAATAATTATAGATATATATAAAACAATAAGTGTACAAGTTAATATATTTCAAGATATCATAACAACACATTGAATAAGAAGAAAAAAGATTCGAATAATTTTGTTCTTTACTTTTAGATTCTTAGAAACTTTTGTTACTTTCCATATCTCATCATTTGTCTTGAAGGATTAGCAGATTGCGCATTTGCTGGTCTAAATTTTCCCAAACTCACTAGTGGACCCATAGCCCATCTCTTCATCATTTTGTAATCGCTTCTCACGTTCTTTAGAATTTTCAACGCATAACGAAGATCCGATAGAGAAGGAGAATTTTCAAATTCATCATCGCTTGAACGGACGAAAGAGAACAGAAGGACCATAATAGAAAGGACCATAACATTGACGAATCTACCCATATTCTTTCTTTTTTATTCTAGATATTACTTGATGATCTAATTTTAACGAGAACAGCAAAAGAATTAAATAAAAATGCATCTACTATAATACTATATAGAGTACAATTAAATAGAGTTAGACGTATAAATATATAAAATACAAAGATTTATTCTTCTTTTTAATAGCTAAGAAGTTAGTTTTAAATTCTTAAACTAAAGCAAAAGTAGATAATTTATTGGTAAAATCCAGATAATCAAATTATCTTCCGTGATTAAACAGTCTTTCCTTTACTTTATAACAATGACGTAGTCTAGTCTAAAACTTTACCTTAATATATTTTACTGGCGATGATTGTTGATGAAAGTTTGTAAATGGTGTGGAACTCCTAAAGAGAATACTAAAGCGCCATCTATACTTTAATATGATCATTAGTGGGAAAGTCTAACTAATTAAACCGGCGTCGCCACTCGTCTCTAGTGGATTGATGAAAAGAATATTTTAACTTCAAGCTGAAAAGCATTCTTCATTTATTTAATGAACAAATGAATGCCGTTTGAATTAAATTTGTGAATGAAAAACATTTAAATTAGCTTACAGAACATCTTAGTTTTGGAATGGTATCATGATTAGCTACTTGTAAAAGAGTTGATAATCATAAACATTTCCACTGAGTATTGTTTCGTTGGTCAACATTAGTTGTAATAGAATTAGTCCTTCCCTCATATCAAGATGACATAAAACTATCGACAACAACTTATCGAAACTTGTATCTTCAATCTATTGATGCGCATCTTTCAGATAAAAAAGAACCTTTACTTTAACAAAGAGAAGCACATCAAGAAATCTTTTAAACTTGATAAAGTCATCATTAAATTAGGGACGGAAAATCAAAGTGACGAAATCAGTTAGAAGATTGGCAGCTGAACTTTATTTCAACTTTTAATTCCAATATAGGAACTTAGGAACGCCATATAACAAATGAAAAGATAGCTTAATAAGTAAGATAATGATAATCAACAGAAAGAAGTAATAATATTATCAGAATTATATGACGTATATAAAACATTGTTGCAATGTAAAGCGTAGAGTATGGTATTTGTTTTATTATCTCATTTAAATGTTATTCTACTTGTCCAAATTGAAAAAATTCTAATTAGGCAAATGTTTTATCGTCAGTCTATTAAACTAAAATAAAGAATCCATAAGTATCAGCTATGTTTTAATAAATCAACTTGATTGAAGAATATTTAGAGAACAAAGGAATCTTTTTTCTCGCAATTGCTCATAAATAAAAGATAGCGAGAAGAAATGTACTAAATATTATTAAAAGAAGAGAAAAAGTAAAGAAGAAGAATAGGGAAGAGTTGCCAATTTCTTATTTTCTTTTCTTTATCTCTTGCAGCTAATGAGTCCAGCTTCTAATTCTATTGCAATCCGAATCAAAACCATTTGTGAATATAATCTATCTCATCTTTTCATAACAGTAATCTTTTCATTGTTTGACTTTTCTCTTTTCTTTAGGAAGAAAAAATTTGTTGAGTAGTTCTCATTCTCTTTATCTTCTTTCTTTCTCTCTTCTTCCCATCTTTTTTCTTATTTTTCCTTAGAAACTAAAATGTAAGAGTTACTTAGCATATTTTTGTTCTCTTCTTTTTACTATAATACAACAATATACAAAATATAAAAGTCACGCGGTTAGAAAAAGCTGATTACTTGCAAGCACCAAGTTGAAGTCTCTATAGGTTAAAATAGTGACGAAAAAAGAATACGAAAGGAGTTACAAACTGACGTTATGTCGTTTATTGAAAAATTTTCAATATATAATGACTTATATAACGATAAAATATTGTATAAACAGATTTTATTAATATATATAAAGTGGACGACATGTATATATGGACACCGTAAATTTTGATAGGCCAATTTTTAATTAACGGTTAAAATTGTTTGTCCTCTGCAAATTAGTATTTTTTGTCTAAATTTATATAGAAAAAGAGTTAAATTGACATAATATTGAAAAAAATTTAAGAAAATGATAATATTTTGTGAAGATTATTAGCAAAAATTTTTAATAATTTTCATAAGTTTTTTCTTTATTTGGCCGCGCGACATGTTTATTGGAACATTGAGTTGACATCTAGTTTGACATTCAAATAGACGTCTCAAACAAAAAATTTTTCAACTTTTTTCCTGTTTTAAGTTAAGTTAATTAGTTATTGAATATGAAAAATTACTGTACATAATTTATATTGTATTTTTTTAATTATGGTTTGGAGTCAAGATATAAGGGATTTGGTAATCAAGAAATATAGTGAAATAGGCAAATTAAGGGCAACAGCAAGAGTTTTAGGAATGGCACCATCATCAATTAGCAACATACTAAAGTATAAGAAGCCAGAACAAGACAATAGGGGAGGTCCGAAGAAGCTTTCCATCAGAGAGATAGCGAGGATGAAAAGAATTTTAAAGAAACTGAAAGATAACTAGCAAAGAGTGACAGCAGCAAAGATATTAAAAGAATTAGAAGTAGATGTAAGCATAAGAACAATACAGAGGGAGCTGAAAAGACAAAATTTCAAATATAAAAGAGTCAGACAAAGAACTGATCTCACCTCCAAAGACTGTAAATGCAGAAAAGCGCACTGCCTCAAAGTTATTAGCGAAAATCTAGACTGGTCTAGGGTTATTTTTACTGATGAGGCTAGGTTTTCGCTAAGTGGACCTGACGATTTTAGGACTTGGACCAGTAACAGCGAAAAGGACTTCAGGATCACAAAAAATATGGGGAGAGGTGGAGTATTGGTGTGGGGGTTGATAACCTCTGACGGCATATTTGAAGTCTGGAGGATAAGGAGCAAGCTGAATGCTGAAAACTATAGCTCCTTCATTGTGGAAAATGTTCTGCCTGTCATAGAAGAAATTGAGGCAAAAATGGGCAGGCAGTACATCTTCCAGCAAGACAATGCTGGCTGTCACACTGCAAGAAAAACAAAAAGGGCCTTTAAAAGCAATAATATCAAGCCGATAGATTGGCCAGCCCTGATCTGAGTCCAATAGAGAACATGTGGCATCTGACCAAGACAATGGTCTATGATGGTCCACAGTTCGAGACAGAGGATCAACAGAAATCCACTCTTGTTGCCAGGCTTATATGGGGGAATGGGCCGTAGAATAAGCAAATGTATAGAAAGAGAGGGTGGGCACATACAAAAGTAGATCAAAAATTTAACTATTGAACATTGTTCCAATAAACATGTCGCGCGGCCAAATAAGAAAAAACAATCAGAAAACTATGGTAATTTCTATAAAAAAAAAATATGTAAAAACGTACCTAACTGCTGTTTTAAAGAAATTTATATAAAATTGCAAGTTTAACCTATTATTAAACACTAAAAAAATTAAAAAAATAATCTTTTTTCATCACGAAAAAGATTTTTAATATTTGGCCTATAAAAATTTCAGGTGTTCCAACATACCTGTCGTCCACTTGATATATATTAATATATACTGTATATATTAGATGCATACTCTATTGAGGAGGGAATCTTTTAAATATAGAACAAACGATGGTCAATTTATGCATATACTTTCTTTATTTGTAATGAAAAGTGTAATAAAGTCTGGATTAAATATAAAATTTATTCCTTTTTTATTATTTTCTTCTCTAACCCAAATAATTATTTCAATGAATTACTCAATCGTCGTTCTTAATGCAGTCCTAAATGATTAAATACCCTGTTTAAAGCGCTCTTAGGATGAATGATACAAGTTTGATGTACGCATGAAATTTGCTTATATTCTCTAATGATTCTAAAGCCACTTTGTGCCAATTATAGATTACAAACAATAAATATTTTTACTTATAGCTTTATCGCCAAAAAATGTCCCTTTAAACGCGCTTTCCTTTCCTATTTTAGTTTTATTAAAAAATATATCTTTCTACCCATCTCTCTATCTATCTCTCTCTCTCTCTACATCTCTTGCTCTCTTTCTCGCTCTCATTCTCTCTCTCTCTTTATAGATATCCTTCACTTTCTTCTTTGCTCTTAAGACCTGTTGTGCTAGTTTTAATAATATATACAGTATACTGTCTGTATATATAGTATATGTGTCTGTGCCTTCAATCAACGACTAAATTATAGACATACAAACATTATCTGTATTAATAGTATAAAAAAGATTGATGATGTAATAGTCGAATATTATAGACAGTAAATATACTGAAAGATAGAAGAAAATTTTTTGTAGTTCTTATAATTGTCTATAGTCGAGATGAAGAAATTTTCTTTTATAGAAATAAGGAAAAAACTGTTTATCACATGCTTTCTTGTTGTTTTCTAGTTAATTTTATAAGCAATCAGTTGCTAAGAAAATTGATAAAATTAGCAATAAGATATAGACTAATTTCTTTCCATTCTGAAAGGATTACGAAAGATTGCAGTGTTTGATTTCTAGGCTTTGCTCCAAATCTCTTATAAATTTCTGGCTGCAAAACAGTTACATTAAAAATTAGAGAGAATATGCTGATCAGTCCAGTAGTGTAATTACGTCACCCTCCAGAGACAGTTTTGTTTTTAAAATCCCGATATATTGGTGCCTCATCTTACACTAAGATAGCATTTTCACCTCAGGGTGGATAAACTAAAGGATAAAATGGTCTCTTAGAGTATAAGTTTTAACTTCCATCTTCATTTCTAGTTTTAATAAAGCCTAGATGTTTTCCCTTAGAGAGAAATTGTCTCTGCTTCTTAGTACTACCTACTCCAGACTGCCTCTACAAGAGAATTACTTTCTCCTATTTGAGGTTCTACCAATTGTAGTGTAAGCCATCTGAGCTATCAAGAATGAATTATTTTCATCACGGATGCGAATTGTATTATTTACTGTAAAGTTTTCTTTGTTGAGTTTGCCTGATTGTCACGTGGCTGCCATTCAGATGATTTCTCTTCTTAAATATTTCAACTAGTTCAGTGTAAGCCAATCGTTGGTTAAAATTTATAGAATCTGCAAAACTTCTTATGAAATTTTCCCCCATTCCTCATTCTAGAAAGATTTTAGTATTATTTTATATCAGTTTTATAATCTATACTCATAATAGATTAGCTAACATATGCAAAACTAAGAATTTCCTTCCTTGTCTTCCAAAAACTTTGTTCCAATTGCAATTTTGTACAGATTAACTGTGATGAATGAAATATGTTATTAAACACAAGCTTGAACAAGATAATACTAAAATACAAGTAGAATTAGTGTTACTTCTTTAATATAGCTGTTTTATTATTTTGTCTTTAATTTCCCATACAAATATCAAATAAACACTTACAGTCACAGTCTTTATATATATATATATATATATATATAAATTTATACTATATATTGTATATATTGTATATACAGTATATATTAATGTATGTATATATCATATACCTTCCTTCTCTGTATACTTTAAGATAGACAACTTTTAAAAATATGACATGTTGAAAATTCTGATAAATATAATAAATCTTGAAATTTTATCCTGGTTTCAATTACTATCTATGTAATTTTAAACGTCAAAAGCTAGTGAGCGATAATATGTAAAAAAATCGATAGAAATTAGACTGAAGCGTTTTATATATAAAGAGCGAACTCTAGTTATATGAACAAGAGATAAGGGAGAGACGTCTAGTGTTTCTTATACGTTTGATTCTATATGACATGAGATAAATGGTAAGGAGAGAGTGTAGGAAGAGAATAAAAAGAAAAATAGGGATAGAAGACAGAAAGAAGAAAAGTGAAGGAATAAATCTTTATACTACTTTTTTCATATTTTTAAGCATAAGCGAACAAATATGTAAAGGGAAAAAAATGACTATTTTCTATACTTTGCTTCCAATCTTAATTGAAATCGTCAGGCTTATTAACTGGTAAGTAACTATTTATAAAAGTCTAATGTAATAGTATAATATTTAAATCAGTATACAATTAGATGGTTTCCAAAGAAACCAATAATTTTTGAACTCTTTCATATAAAATAAGTTCCATTCCTTTAAAGGATAGACGTCTCCATTAGAAAAAAAGAAGATAGAAATGAGAAAAGTTTATTACCACCCTATATAAAGCGGAAATGTATCATTTTCCGGTTATAATGCTAGAATTTATTAGTAAAATCCCTGTTTATAGCAACATATTTTGGAATAGTCAACAATTTCTCATTTGTCTTAGTCTTCAAGGTCTTACTTCTGATTAGCAGTCGCTTCCAATGTCGTTGTAGGTACGTGTGCCAAAAAGACGCGGTTTCATTGATGAAAAAAACCTAATAAACTTATCATAGAAAGAAACTTTTAGAGGCTTACTGGAACCTTACTGTACTACTTTTACAATTTTGACGTGTTCCCAGTAAATGTAATAGTCGAACAAATTTTTCTATCCAAGAATCTATTTGCGACTGTTATTTCTTAAGAACTAGTTAGATGTGTGAAAATATTAAGGATAGGACTATATTACAAATCTATTGTCTATTATTATTATTATTATTTTTGTAAAGGTATTTAATGAAATCTATATCATATTCTATAAATTATCATAGTTTAATAAGTATTCTATTTAAAAACAATCCTTAGAGTTCCAAAATAAGCCTTTTTGAAGGAAGTCGTAATGAGCTTTTATCTTCTAATTATCCGTATATCTCTAGTTTTACGAAAAGTAGTACACCTCAGATCATGTAATATCGTCTTTAGTATCTCTAGGCGATCCTTTTACCTTGTTAAACATTCAAAATTCCTCTCCAATAAACACTTGACCTTTTTCTTTTATTAATTTTTAATTCTAACGTTTGTTGCTGTAAATTGTTTATTATTCATTTTTTAAATCTAGTTCGGGAAATGTTTCATTCGAAAAGCTTTTAATTAATGACTTGATGACTGAATATAAGAAGTGGGGCAAGTCGGGCAGACCTGTGAGAAATATTTCGACCGTTTCAAATGTCAGCTTCTCGCTTGGTCTTATTCAAATGGACCTTAACGAAAAAGATAAAGTCTTAACGATGAGCATGTGGACTCGCTATGTGAGTAATGGAGTTTTCTTAAGTTCATTACTAAGTAATAACGAAGAAGAAAACTATTAGGTATGGAACGACGAATATTTGACCTGGAACCCTAAGGACTACGGTGGAGTGACTACAATCAGATTATCAGCCGATTCCATATGGAAACCCGATATTATGTTATACAACACGTATGTATTATTGTGAGACACTATATTTTCCCTTGTTCCTTTTTTGTAATATATACTTTATTTCATTTTGAAAAGTATTAACATATTCAAAAGTATAGTTTTTCATAAGAAATGAAAGACGACAAGATGAAAGGAAACTAATTGCCTTCATCGTTAAATGACCACAAAAAGTTTATGCTCTCTTTACTACACGGAACTATAACAAGATTATCTGATCAGAATAATTGCGTACATAAACATATTTCTAAAAGTGTTACTGTTATATTAGATTAAGCGTTAGAATAGTTGTAATGTTTGCATTAAGTTTCCCATAAGGAATTATGAATTATGCTGCGAATAAATAATACAACTAGACCAAAAACAGAAGACTGACTATATGTTAAAAAATTTTCTTATCAATACTACTCTTTATCAATTGGACACAAAACGGTAAAATATTAATACTCTATGCCGAAAATATCTATGAAATTTAATACAAATATTTTAAATATAAGCTATAATAAAAACAAACATATAATAGAATAGAAGATTAGTAGACAGAGAATTAATAACATCAAACGATCAGTGATTATTAACTATTATTATTAGGTTATTACTAATATTTAATTTGTCTATGTTCTGTAATTATTTTTAGAAATTTCTGCATGGTAAAGTTTTTATTTCTATGTCTTGTCTTCTCATTAAATATACTGTATACAAGTATTAAAAGAGAAAGCACAAGAATGAATCAATAATTTGGTCTTTTTCTGTTTTTTGGGTGTAATGCAGTTTGGGAAATGCGCGTAGTCTCACCTACGAATAATAACTTTCCCTTTTTCCTTTCTATATAGCTAGTTTAAATTTCATATATAACTTAAAAGCTAATTACAATGTTCTGGATAAGGAATTTAATAACGTTAAGCAGCGATATGGAAAGAAAATCTTAAGAGTAGGCTTATTTTTTGTTCCTTTCCTTTTCTCCTCCTCTTACTGTTTCCTTCTCCCAGTTGCCATAGAGTTTTTATCGTCTCTAGTTGAGATTATTGAGAATATATTCGATATATCTCGAATGAACGGCTTTAAATTCAATGAATCTATATTTTCTATAGATAGTTACTATTTTTTTCAACTAAAAATTTTTTGATTTGTTAAGCAAATCAGTTAAATAAAGTTCCATAAATATTTCTTCATAGTTTAAAAAGAAATTGTAATTCCTGTAGAAATGTAGAACATGTCAATTAATCAGAATCTTCTCTTAAGTGTCAGGAAATTGCGTATTTACGAAAGGGCTTTACTTATGATTATCTTCTTGATATCCTGTTCCAAGTTGTTCCAATTTTAAGAAAACATAGTTTTTAAATCTATTAATGTTAATTTCCTTTTGATTATTTTCTAAATAGCTTATCGTGATATTTTACAGAACTACTGCAAATTTAATTTTGGTTGACTTACTTATTATTTATTCTTTATTATTCTAATGTAAATCAATTATTATAAATTAACATTCCAACGTTCATTTTATATCTTTAATTTCAAGTTGTAAATACAACAGACGAACAAATCCAGAAAACTTTACAAACTTTGAGATGTTAAATAAAATTCTTTATCTTCTCCATTCTCTTTTTCTCTTTTTTTCTCTCTCTTCATCCATGATATTATTTTAACAGTTTTAAGGTAAAAAAAAAATATATTATTGTCATGAGATTTCCCCTCAAAAGAGCTTATCCTCAACAATCAACGATCGATGTAATTAATTAATTAATCAATCTGACTAAGCTATTAGCAACAATTGTTAAATTAAAAATTTCAAACTAAAAATTCTGTTTTCTTTCAACAAAAGAAACGCTTTACCTTTTTTTTTTAAAGATAAAGTAGAAAAACCAATTTAATTATATTTATTAAAATAAAACCTGGTATGTCAGAAAAAGAAGAAACTGTTGTCAATAATTTCGTTTTTTAACACTTTCTATTAAATTGTTTCCTTCATATGATCAAATCAGACTTCACCATTTAATTAGGGCTAATTATCTCTTCTGCTGCAACTAATTAGTAGAAAATAAAATAAAATCCGTTTATCTGCTTCTATTTCTTTAAATTCGTGGGAATGTAAAATTAGAAAGAAAGATGTACGTTTTAATCGTATCGCGATTGTATCATTGATTTCTTGAATTATAGCAAGTGTTATCATAATGTGGAACTTACAGAGCAGTTTTAAGAGAATAAGAAAGAATGGGAGGTAGTAGCGCAAGGGACAAAGGAGAGTTACGGAAGATATTTAGGATTAGTTGTCAAGGCAAGTCAATCGACATTAGAAGCTTTTTCCAATTGTACAATACGTATGAAACGTTCATATTTCCTGTAGAGATATGGATATAGAATAAAACTCTTTCTATTTAATATAATATTTTCATACATATATCCTTCTCAATAAGGACACTTCTGAGTTGAAAAGTCATCAATTCTAAAGGTTACTTTTTTTGCAAACTGTTCTGTCAAACTTAGATTGCACTTATAAGAAATTAAATGCGATATATACAGTATATATAAATTATATATATATATATAAAACGTTATTTATAATATCACTGACTCATCAATATTTATAGAACGAGTTAATCTTCAGTAATTTTATGTTAGGACAGAATTTGTTAAATATTCTTTTTGATCAATAACTTTGTTACCTGAATATTATGAGTTTTTGTTCTCCAAATCAAATGTCTTAGTCATATCAATCAAAGTTATAATATCTCCTTTAAGTGTTAAATAAGTTTATTATAAATTAATATTTTTAACAAATATTTACAATGTATTATATATAAACTTTCTCATATAGTACTATATATATATATATATATATATATATATAGAGAGAGAGAGAGAGAGAGAGAGAGAGGGTGAGAGGGAGAGAGGGAGAGAATTTTGAGACATAGCTTATTGCATAGGGTATAAATATCTGTAATTTAATTGAATGTCAATCCGTTTCCAGCGTTTAAACGTCCAGTTGAACTAAATTATAAAGCACCTATTTCAGAATTCTATCGATTTCAACTGTAAATGAATTTTATTCACGAAAGCCTCTATTACAGTGCCGATGTCGATAGCGTAGCCCGTCAGGCCCTTGCAGTCATTCGTTACGACGGTTCTGTTTCATGGTTCCCACATACGATCTTTAGATCATCTTGTAGTCTCGACGTAACAAACTTCCCCTTCGATAATCAGAGTTGTCATATGTGGTTTGGATCTTGGACACATCCCTCAGATCAAATTAATCTAACTATGCTAACAGAAAACGGAATTGATCTAAGCACATTTCAATCAGATTTTAAAGATGGATCAGGCTGGGATATTTATAAAGTTCATGCTGAGAGACAAGTCAAAGGAAAAGATAATGTACCCAAATTTACTATTGTAACCTTTGAATTGTATATGAGAAGGAAGATGGTCTTTTCAAGCTATATTCTAACACTACCTTGCGTCTTTTTGGCCTGTCTAACTTTAGTTGTATTCTGGTTACCACCTGATAGACCAGACAGGACATCGCTTGGTAAGTAGGTTACTAATTAATATAATAGCTAAGATTTGCACTTGAACTATATATATATAATGCAGTATTTATGCAGCTATGAGCATCTTTGGAAGCTTTATGGTTCTTCTTTTGATCTTGGTAGAGGCTGCACCCCCCACTGCTGGTTCTATACCAAATTTAGGTAAATATTTTACCCTGGAGGCTTGTATATCTACTTTCAAAATAGAATAGGTGAAACGAGATAAATTATAGCTACCATTGAATAGGAAGATTTAGAAGTCATATTACAAAAAAATATAGATATCAAGGCATAAAAGATACAAAGTGCTCTTATGTTCTATAAGGGTTTTTCTTTCTTTCTCTTGTTTATTCAAATAGCATCTTAAATAGAAATCTGTTTTTGTTTATTCAGGTGTTTACTACTGCTTCAACGTTGTTATTATCATGTTTTCTATCATACTTTCATCCTTGGTCGTTAACATTAACAGAGGCGGTAACGAATGTCAATATCCACCTAAATGGCTAAATCTGGTTCGTTAACAAATTCTGTATGAATATAACATTTGAAGATTTTTAAGTGATCATAGTCACGTGTATACATACTTTATTACATTTCAGATAACATTAGGATGCCTAGCAAGAGCTATGTGTATGAGAGGCAAATGCACAACAAGAAATATCTACTCGGCAACCAATGAGAAATCTCATGAAAGAATTGAACTGTTTAACGATATTAGCGAATTACATGATTTTGATGTTGATAGGCGACACCTGTCGGATTTTGAAAAACAATTATATGATTTACGCAGAATTATATTGCGGTTTGAACAAAAATTAGAAGAAAGGAATAGATTTGAAAAAGAGAAAACAATGGCAAAAAAATCATGGCAAAGAATTGCAACAGTTCTAGATAGATTCTTCTTTATATTGTACCTTGTTTTAATTATAACATCTCTAAGTCTATTATTTCCAAGACCAGTATAGTAGGAAAATTAACAATAAATTATTTAAATTTCAGCTTCATTTTTATAAAATTTGGAATCAAGTTAAAGAGACCAAAAAACTGTCATATCTATTATTGTTTTCGTCCATTTTCCTTATACTACAAAGCCAAGTACTTCTATTAAAAAACACGTATACATTTATTCACTTACTGATAAAGTGACTGGAGAAATACTTTGTATTTAAGATGATCTTTTTAATAGTCTTTTCAAGGATACTTTGCGTTATTTAATTCCTTTTAAAAAACTAAAATTTCTGAATGTTCTATAGGTTGATACCTATTATATTACATCCTGAAAGCACTTTTATTAAGGACAGGGTTAAAAGATTAAAAGTAGCACAAGCCAAAATTTCAAGAAACTGTGATTTATAGCGTTCCCAATTGAAAAATCAAAGAGAGTATCAAAGTTGTAGGGAGGCGGGGGAACGTTGCAAACGTATTCCCCAAATTCCTTCACTAAAATAAAAATAAAGAAGAAAAGAGGAAAAATATCAAATAGATACTCAACGATGATAAAACAGTAACGATCTATAAATATTTGAAGTCTGGAAGTTTTCCATGCTTAACTAACGCTTTAAAATATAGTCTATAATGGCTAATAATTTAATAATAAGACTACATTTAAAAGAAGGGCTTAATAGTATATTTGCTATTTATGAACAATAATAATTAAATTTCCCACGACTTTCAAAAGTGAAGGGCATTGATTGTCCTGAATAGGACAGTTGAAAAACTGAATAGATGTAAACAAAAATGTCTTCGATCGCTATTTTATTATATATTTTTGAATGGCATTCAAAGATACACTAAATGCGTTATTGTATTCTTTTATTGTTTTAATTATTTATAATTCATTTTCTATCAAAGAATAAAATATTAAGAATTGAATATCTATTGAAATTTTCGTTTATTAACTTATAATTATTTATTAATAGAGTGTAATTAACATCATTTAAATTAAAAGAAAAAACTAAATTTTGTTAGAAACCTATAGAAATGTTTTTTCTATTGAATATAATATTTACAAAGTCTACACAGGAAACACACTGCAAACGCAAAATCCTGAATTGCGTGATAAATAGGAAATTGTCCATCTTTATTTTCCTTTTCATTCTCTTATGCAGTCTTATTCCTATCTTTAGCAATCGTTACTTTCTCTATAGTTAACTCTAATCCAATTTTATTGGTATATTTTTTATTTTCATCTTTATCTAAGATCTTCTTCTATTTTCCTTTTCTTTATGCTCATTTTAAAAATAAGAAAACACACAGCTGTTTCTGACATGTTAAATCTGTTTAACTTTTTATTCTGTTAAAACAAGATAACATACCGCAAACAATAAAAATTTTATCTATATCATTAAAAAAATGGGTAACATGTGCAATTTTTATGAAAAAATAAAAGAAAAATGATTGGTTTTTTGAAATAAGCTGACATTTCATATCAGTTATTTTAATATAGCTGAAAATAGATAAATAAATTTATAGTCATTTTACGAATTCACAACGGTACCCTACAAAGTATGTATATATAATATATATATATATATATATACTGTATATATATATAAATATATGTACATACTGTATATACATACTCTTTACAAATATGAATATAAGTTTCCTACTACTTTTTATGATATTTTTGGTAAATTTTGATGAAATTATCAATTTATCGGTTGATAATTTATCGTTAAAGTAAGTCAAATATTTGAATTATTTTTTCTTGTTTTTATATCAAGTCTAAAGTGAAAGTGACATAATGTCTTTCGTAGTTTTCGTATTCTATTTCAAATGAATTTTATATTAATGTATTTATTAAAATAACTATAATATTATATTAATATATTTATATGCAAGCTATTCTCTGAACATTGCTTCTTTACACATGGCTGAATATTGCTATATGCTAATTGTTATAATTTGCTAGCAAGTTATAAGGTTTAGAGCATATGCATAGTTTAATATATACACATTGTATTGCGATAAAAAATAAAACGAGCTTCCTATAGGTTTTAAATCTCATTTAGAAGGAAGAGAATTCCCCTAAATCGCCAAAAAATAACTTTACCCTTGAGATTACAAATGTTATTGGAAAAAAAAAAATCAGTGGTACGATAAAGTCTAATAGAACAATCTTAGTGTTAGAGGAATGGTTATTTATTGCTATTTTATATTGAAATAGATGTTAGACTTAATGAAAAATTCTATTCAACGATAGATGGCATTATATTACATTCGTCTTAAATAAACGTCTAGTTTTACTCGACTGATAATACACAAGTTTTTCAACAGAGGGAGAAAATCGAGCGAAAGACAGTTGATAGAAAGACTCTTGAAGTCGTACGAAAAATTTGGTCCTAAATGCAGACCTATTAGAAACAGCACAAATAGTCTAATAGTCTATTTCTCCCTTAGCATAGTAGCAGTTGATTTAGACGAACGAGATAAAGTTTTTACAGCTACAGCAAATTATCAAATGGTAAGTTTACAAAATTTAAAGATGTTATTTACCATAAATATTAAACTTATATTAAAATTCTACAAAAGAAATGGAGGGATGAATATATGACATGGAATCCAAAAGATTATGAAAGTGTTAACAATATTCGACTGCCGATGAATATGATTTGGAGACCAGACATAATGTTATATAACACGTAATTATTATAATAGATATGTTTTCAAAAGTTATACATAAGTAAGCTTACTTATATATAAGTATTCTTATCTTATCGACTCTTTATTATCATATATTTCTGAAAATCTATTCAGAAGTTTTATTATAAATGTCAAGTTTTATTTTTTTCGTCTATGATTCAATCTGATTAAACTAGAACATTTTAAATTATAAAAAAGCATATAGTCTATGTCCTAGTGCCACTATCATACACTGAGGAGCGAATATGTATCAAATATTAATCATTTATCGTTTAGAAGAATAGACGATATATTTCAAATCATATTGAGTAAGATATTTTATACCAATTCTTCGACTATGCTTAGCCTTAAGATTAAGGCTGACTATAAATAAACAGTGTTGTCTATGAAATCCATATCTTGTCTATCAGAAATGAATATCTAATAGTCGAACTTGAACTGTATTTTTATATCTATAATATATAAATTTATATATTTGCAATATTTACTCTTTTGCAAATAATCTATAGGCAAACTCTCTATATTTGAACACCCATGATATTAATCATTATCTAAGGATTGAGACAATCATGTTTTAATATGAATTCTTATAATCAAATTTATTAAATCTTTACGAATAGTTTAATCCTTTTTATTACATAGGGCAACGGCCGAAAATGAAATATCAAATGCACCAGTAATAATAAACTATAACGGAGATGTAACTTGGTTTGAAAAAAGTGTTTATAAATCAACTTGTAGCATGACTGTTACGAATTATCCATTTGATGTTCAAACTTGCAATCTGTGGTTTGGTTCTTGGACACACCCAATTTATGAAATTGACTTTAGAATTCTAGGAAAGCAGGGTTTAGATGTCAGCCAGCTAGAGAAATACTCCGTTTGGGAAGTGAGTTCTACAGAGGTTGACAGGAAAGAACATGGTGGAGGAAAAATTCCTACATATTCAATTATTACCTTTCGATTTGAATTAAAGAGACGATTGACATTCATGAACGGTCTCTTAATTGTTCCTTGCATTATATTATCATCCTTAACTCTAACTGTGTTCTGCCTACCTCCTAGCAGACCTGATAGAACCATGTTAGCAATGAGTCTTTTCGCTAGTTTTTTATTTCTCCTACTGATGTTGGTTGAAACGGCTCCACCTTCAGCTAGCTCCACTCCAAAATTAGGCTAGTAATTTTAAGTTATGATAAATAATGCTAATTGACAGGAGAAATATTTCTTTCATCAGGATTTTACTACATCTTCATTTTGATTCTCATAATTTTGGCCATCATCCTGTCAACAGTGATAATCAACATATCAAAACTTGGAGAAACTGGTACTACTCCCCATAAAATTATTTTTTTGGTAATTGTCATTCTATTAACAAAAAGAACCTTCTTACTTAAATAATATTATTCCTTACAGTTGATAAAAATAGTAGCTAAAATTTTCAAAACAGAGAAAATGTACAAATTGAAAAGAAAGCTTAAAGTGTTAAAGAAGAGATTGGCAACCTCTGAGGGAAACTATTATAGCTACGGCGACAAAGATTCTATACTATTATTAAAATTAAAAGAAATAAATTTCATTTTGAAAAAAGTTGAACTACGTCAATTGGAGATTGAAGACAAGAAACAGTACAGAAAGTTTCTTATCGATATTTGGAAGTATTTTGCAAAAATACTTGATAGATTCTTCTTTTGCGTCTATTTGGTTATTATTATCGTGTTTCTTATATGGTTTTTTCCAAGACCACTTTAATATCTATATTGTCATTTTGTTACTCTTTTTTAAAATTTTGACTTTATATACATAAAAAGAAGATATATAAAAATATATATATATTGTATATACACGGCATATTGGCGCCTTGTTTTGTATTATTCTTGAATTGATATAAATTTTAAATTCAATTGAATAGATAAATTATCATCAATCGATAAATAAGAATACTATTTTGCATACCCAAACCGCATAAATGTGTACAATAAACGTTTATAGTATAGTATTTTTTCAATTATAATTCGTGATTGTTACTTTGTTTCTACTTTGTGTGCGTTTTTTGTCAATATTTTCCATATTTTTTCTTTAATTAATTAAATAATTCAATTGTTCATATATTAGTTTTTTCACTTTTCATTCAAAACAAAATAATTAATTGAGAAAAAGTGATATATTTAAAAAAATCTTCATAAAAATAGTTATTAATTATAAAATACAACCCCCTCTAGTGTAGTATCGGGTAAAATAAACTATCAACATCAGTGGAGATAGCAGCATTATACAGTAAACTATTATATTGTTTTTGTCTTATAGAATGACTCTCACTAAGTTTTCAGAGTTTTTAAGTGTATATCTTCTCTTTGTAAACTATCTACATGTCTTTTACTTAAGCGAAACCGCTCAGATGGAAAATATCATGAATAGGTGGGAAACGATTTATCTATTTATACATATATATATATATATATATACATCAATATATTTATTGCGGTATTAGCTCTATTTCGAACTATACCTATAACTATAAATCAATTTTTAAATGTTTAGTATATTATTATATAGTAAACGCTTTTATCGCTACAGTTGAATAAATGTTAAAGAAAAAACATTAATCTCTCATTTACTAGAAAATAAATTGTATAAATTATATTTAACTAGTTCTCACATCTCGGCTGAGAAAAGATTGCTTTCAAATCTTCTTAGCGAATATAACAAATATGGTAAATTGGGAAGACCCGTCAGAAATATGTCAACAGTTTCCGTCGTTCTTTTTTCTTTAGGATTAATTCAGATGGATTTAAATGAAAAGGATAAAATTCTTACAATGAGCATGTGGACAAGATACGTAAGTTTTAACTACATTCTTTTAGACACTAACAGTGATAATATTATCAATGAGCCATATTTAAAATATTAAAGGCTTGGAAAGATGAATATTTAAGATGGGATCCAAAGGATTATGATGGAATAATTACTATTCGATTATCGGCCGACTTAATATGGATACCTGATATTATGCTATATAATACGTAAGTAGCTTACTTGCGAATATTTACTTTTCAATTTGTGATTTACTTTGTCACTAGAGCAAGTGTTGAAACTGTTGCTAGAGATGCTTTGGCAGTTATTAACTATAATGGTAGAGTTATGTGGTATCCACATACAGTTTTCAAGTCATCCTGTAGTGTTGATGTCACCAATTTCCCTTTTGACAATCAGAGTTGCCATATGTGGTTTGGATCTTGGACTTATACAAATGATCAAATAGATTTGAAAATGATGACTAAAGAGGGTATTGATCTTAGTACTTATCAGTCAGACTTTAAGGAAGGCTCAGTATGGGATATTTACGAAGTTCACGCAGAAAAAGAGGTTAAAGGAAATGAGAAAACAAAAAAATTTTCCATTGTAGTTTTCTATTTAAACATGAAAAGACGAATAGTCTTTTCTACCTATATATTAACACTTCCATGCATCTTTTTGGCATGTTTAACATTAGTTGTCTTTTGGCTTCCTCCTGATAGACCTGATAGAACTTCGTTAGGTTATTAATTTTTACTAAACTAATATTTTCTCAAAGTTATATCAAATTAATAATTGAAAATTACCTTACAGCGATGAGTATATTTGCAAGTTTTATGGTTTTGTTGCTCATTTTAGTGGAGGCTGCTCCCCCGACTGCTGGTTCTATTCCTAAATTGGGTATACTTTACTCCGCTTAATTTATTTATAACTGTCCAACTAATGATATTTATCTTACTAATAGGCTTATACTATTGCTTTAATGTTGTTATAATCATGTTGGCCATTGTTCTATCTTCTCTAGTTGTAAACATTTATAGAGGTGGAGCCGATGGTAAAAAGCCACCAAAGTGGCTAAATGCGGTAAGTTAAACAATATTAATTCTATTAGACTTACTGCAAAGTTTTATGTAGACTTTATAGAAGTTAATTAAGTATTTCCTCTCTATATAATCTTTATTTTGATTGCAAAAGATGATAAAATGTTTCATTTTTTTCTTTATTGTAGATTAGCTTAAATTGTATAGTTTGCTTATTGTGCAAAAAACATAAATTGGACAAGCGACGCTATAGGAAAGAGAGAAATACTGAAATCTGTGATGAGAACGTCGAAATAGAATTGGAATCGATAGATAGTACTTTTGAATTACATGGATCATATAGCGAAAGAAGAATGTATACATGCGATTCAAAGCGACATCTGTCCGATTTTGAAAAACAAATAGCAGACTTAAAAAGGATGCTGGCGCAAATGGAATCAAAAGAAAGTGAAAAAATTATAGCCAATAATATGACACAGGAAGCTAAGAAAGCTTGGCAGAGGATAGCTACTATGCTGGACAGATTCTTTTTTATATTATACTTTGTCCTAATCATAGCTTCTCTTAGCCTTACATTTCCAAGACCAAGTTGAAAGTCGATAAAGAAAGGTGCTATAGTTTGTTGTCCCTCACAAAATCTACTCCTTCTATTCTGAGTACAACCATTATTCCTTTAACTGTTTCTCAATGTTTTTAACTTATCTATAGAATTATAGTACAAGAAACTGAGCTCGTAAACAATAATATCAATAACAATTGTAATTCTCCCTCTTATTTATTTATTTTTTTTATTAAATTTTCTTTTATTGGCTTCAATAAAAGTTAAGAAAAGAGTAAAAGAAGAAACTAATTAATTAGTATTGATGTGCCGTTAAATACACATGTTTTTGTAGTAGTTGGTTTAAATTGAATTAAAACAACAAAATATGTCATCATCGCGCCAAATATCTAAATCAATAGAGAAAATATTATTGTATACAAATTATCCTTAAGTTTTCTATAAAAGCAGTTTTTCTTTGAACTTACCGTCATTATCGTTTCTTTATCTATAATGAATAGTTTAAAAGCCGTCAGTCCAATCTTTGTTCCATTTAATTTATGCATAAAGAAAGATAACTGTTGAAAAGAATGTTGATTTTTAATATTAAGGCTTTTCTTTTTCAGTATTATAATAAAACACTGATAACTTACATTCATATGGGATTGAATATCAAGTTTATTCAAGTTGATATCTCTTAATATAAATGTCAATTCGTGAGCCTTGTTTTTTAAATGAAGACGACGCAAAAAAACAGAGATATGACAACCAGATATTAAGGTCAATAGAAGGTTATTTTATATTTTTGTTATTTCGTAATTATGTTAAAAGAAAATATTTCAAGTATAATAAAATTGAATTGTAAAAATTGACTTTATCTGATTAAAAACTTACGGATTCATGAACAATTGCTGCTGATACTGACATAATTATTAGTGTTCCCAAAGCTGTAATTAGCCAGAAGTATAAACCGAGTCTTGCTATAGTACTCGTTGATATAACAGTTTTGTCGTAAATCATAATGTATAACGTTATACACGAGTTTAAAATGTTAGATACAAAACTAGTTGCATTCAATAAACAGATCATCGAGTCGGCTGCTTCAACGAGATCACAACATTTCTCGTACCTTTGCCTAAGTACTTCCAATGTTGTGGCAAAGTTTTCAGCTAACTCATGTTTGATTGAATCTTTCGTTTGTTCATTTATTATAACAAATGACTTGTAAACAATATAACAAATAATAAAATGGAATCCAATTGGTATAACCCAGGAAATTCCACCAAAAAATACTATAGTGAAGGTTAATGATTTCGATAAATTGGATACTTTAAAAGGATACGCTAACATATCCATTGAATTTGTTAAATATGTTTGATAACCCACGAAACATGTATTTATAACGAATCCTAAGATACAGATTACTGTTATAATTTTATCCATACGTTTAATATTTTGAAACTCTTTTAGATAATGTGGACATTCTGCACTGTTATCAAATATTTCTTTCCAAACATAACAAAATTTGGAAAATCCTCTATACAACGTAAATCCCCTAACTATACTTATATTTTCCGTAACAATCAATGTATACCATGATATAGTTAGGATGGTCATAATTTGATATATATTGAAATTACCATCAATCAATCCAAAAAGTAACCATACTTTGAAGCAACACAAGAATATAATTGCGGATATAGTATAACAATAAATCCTTGACAGTGTCCATTTAAGCTTGATTTTATCTTTGCTATCTCGAACGTAGATACCAGGAAAGTATAAACCTCCAATTTGTGAAAGGTTTAATAGGAAGGAAAAATTTTTTGAGATTAATGCCTCCTTATTATTGCACAATATTTCGTTCTTGTGACAACAAACAAAAGATACGCATTTCTTGCATCCCGAGCATCCTTCAATTTTCTTTATACCTGAACTTTTTATATTTGATTCTAAACGATCTTCAGCGAATGCTTCTCTCACTCGAAAGTTAGGGTTGTCTACCATATTGCCTCTTCCTCCTATCCTTACGATATTAAAATGAAAATGCAATGTGTTGCTGCCTTTTCCCTTAATTATTCATAAACTTAAGTAATGTTTTAAGTTGATTAATATTTCAACGCATCATAAAAGCGTCTTATAATGACTATGCTTTTAAGTTTTCAGTTTTTAATTAGACACTATTCAGGCAAATTGAATAATGAATATTAAATATTTCTTGATTGCCATATGTTTTCATATTTTACTTATGGTTAAATTCATGTAAATGGCATAAAACGAATTGATATTCGTTCAACAGCCTATAAATTGTTAAATTGTATTAATTGTGAGTGTCAGTTCAACATTGAGGACGTTAACATTTTATAAGACCCTATTAAAACATTAATGTATAAGCGGTTAAATATCAATTTTATGACAAATTATGTAACTATATTATTTATTGTATGAATTTGAAATATAAAATAGATTAAATATAGGCTTACTAAAAATTGTAAAGAATTTTGCTTCATAAGCTATCTACTTTATCATAAAAACGACTCTCAAATGATAATTTTGATTAGCAATAAAGTTATATAACATTCCAATGAGTCGTAACCCACGCATAAATTTCTTATCTTGTTAACTCAAGTTTAATCGCTTACTCTTCTTATCATGATTACTTTTGTGGTCGTCCAGCCTGATTTCTTCAGTCGGTCTTGACACCTTTAACTGGTGGCATGAAGTTGATTTTGTTTTTAGCAATAAGCTTTATACCGGTAGCTATTGTTGCCGATGAACATCTTATATATACTCCTAAGGCAAAGGGAGCGGAAGTTGTCGAAGCAGTTGTAGCCAAAATAGACGCCTCTTGTATATTTCCCGACTTTAAACTCTTCTTGAGAAGATTAGCTTACGTTGAATCGAAAGATGGTAACAATTTGAGGTTTCTCGTGCCCAGAGGAGGCATATGGAAAGTAAGTTTTTAGCATTATTAATTATTTTGACAAGACGACCTTTGTTAGTAGAAAATTTAGTATAATGTTCCCTATAAAGGACACGTGTATGCTTCTTTTCTTTCTTTGGTGTTCGTAAACAAACGAGTAAAAAGATAATTATTTATTAATGAATATATCCTCTTGAAAAATAACCCTATTTAAAAAAGAAGCACACGGCTATCCAATTAACAATCTCAGCTTGAAATCAATTCGACCGTAAATAATCGGCGCTGTTTGATGTCTTTTAAAATGTTTTGATTAGCCTCTAATTAGGGTTTATTTAACGCCGTTTTATAAACAATTTCGTAGTTTAGAAACTCGTACATTTTTATTTTTCCAATTACTATCGGAAAGAGAGGTTGTGTAGGATGAAAAAATCATTTAGAATCGATGATATTTTAAGAGATGCTAATGTGGAAGAAACAAAGGAACAAATGGATGTCAATAGTGAAAACAATAAGAAAATGTGGAAAAGTTCTTCTATCGAATCATTTGACAATATTCGTCTACCAATACCATCAGATTCTAATCATCATGGTTCATACTCATCTAATGAATATAAACTCAAGCTTAAAACGGAACTTAGCCCGATAAAAACCTTTAATCCTTTTGTAATTCCGGTTCCATTACCAGTATACTTTGGATCAAAAAGTTATCAGATAGAGGATTTAAAAAAGTGTCGAAGATCCAGGACTGTTTTTACAGAGTTACAGGTAAAATATCTCTTTATGAATTATAGATTCGTACATTTGGAGATAATATTACAACAGATATTAGGTTTGGAAAAAGCATTTGAAACTAGCCGCTACTTATCAAATAGCGAAAGAATTGTCCTCTCAGAGCGCCTTGGTCTTTCTCAAATTCAAGTAAATACGAATATATTAAAATAATAGCCTAAAATAATAATCAAGCTATGTTTATAGGTAAAAACATGGTATCAAAATCGACGAATGAAATGGAAAAGAGAACAAAATAGTTCATTAAAAACCCATAAAAAGTGAATTTGACAGTCTTAGATCAGCTTAGACATCTTTAAAATAATGAAATTATGATATTTTTTATCTATCTTCTCTTTTACACCTTTTTTATAATTGGGAAAAAATTTTATTACTAATTATTAATAATATAACTAAAGCACTTATGCTACAATAATCTATTTATTGTCGAACAGAGAGCTAGCTATAAGCTTCAAGCTATTTCCTAGTAAAATATCAATAATAACAACAACGAATTAGATATTAACATAACATTATAACTAGTCTATTTTTATAAAAATGACTATTGTCAATAAAAATTTGAATACATCATTTACAAGGAAATCCAAAATGGTAAAAGGGAAATATTTAACTGATATTTTATTTACTATTCTTTAGTGAAAAACATAAATTATCTATAAGTAAAGCAAAGTGACTCGAGTAAATAATCACTAAAAGACTTAATAGACAAATCTGGAAAGAAAAAGCAAAGAGTAAACTTTTAACAATAATTTGATATCTGGTTTGTTTTTTTCATTGTTTATTTTAACAACACCGTGAAAAAAAAAAAAAAACACTTAAATACTTTTGCCTCTTTACTCTATCTATCCTTTATTCGGATTAGCACTTTCTATCATTTTTTCAATTTAGCTCTTTCGATTTTTAAGTATTTATTACATTTTATTGCATAAACATCTCATATTTTCAAGGTTTAATCAATAATTAAAATTGTATTATCTATCGTACGATGGGACGATAGTCAACTTACATTATCTAGGTTATAAGCAAAACTTTATACGCCATCTGTCGTCTATCCTTTGTTTTATTAATACTCTTTATAGTACCGTATATTAATACATCAATATTTATAAAAAAACAGGTTGGACTAATTGGTTATCACAATACTTTCAAAATTATTGAAAAGAATTTAGCTTTGAGAGCTGCTATCCTTGCGAATTTTCATATTCCATGGATGACCGTTACGTTTAGAGATTTGGACAAACCTTTATATTCTGGTATTGCTGCAGCAATTATCCTCTCCGGTGTCAATAAAGAAATACCCAGAGACATTGACGGTCAGGCCTACTATTGGCATCGATACTATAGAATTGCTGGAATACCATACTACTTTGCAACTCAAGCGGCCAAGATCGAACCATGTTTGTAGAAAGACCAAGAGAGAATATTCTATCTCACTAAATTGATCATTTTTTTAATAGCTTGCAACAACAAAGCGTTGGATGTCGTTTTCGTTCTAGATGGAACTATAAGCGATAAATACTTCCTCAATTCATTAACTTTTGCAGAAGAAGTCGTTGAAAACCTTAATATTGGCTCTGAAAACACCAGAGTCGGTTTATTGCAATTTTCTACTTGGGCTCACCCAGAATTCTATTTGAACTCATACACAACAAAAGCCGAAGTTATTGATCATATTAGGTCCATCCATCCTATTAAAGGATATAGAAATTTGTATGCCGGTCTACACTCGATCGTGGACGACATGTTTAGGTAATTTACACAATACGAAAAGAAGACTAGCTAATTAATTGAAAAAACATATTAAATAAACAGATCTGATAAAGGAGCTAGAAATAAGGCAATTAACCCTCGAGTGGCTATTATCTTAACTGCCGGTAAATCGAAGTATCCTTGGAAGACTTTCTTAGCCGCACCAAGAGCCCATAGAGCTGATATAACATTGATAGCCGTTGGAGCTAAAAAGCTATACGATGTGGCAGAGTTAATAGCAGTTGCATCTAGACCCACTTGCAGCTATAAGCATCTTATGAAAGACCTTCACGAACTAGCACTTGCTGATAGCTCAATCACTAAGTCCATTTGCAATTGTAAATTTTTTTAATCGAAAATTTATCACTGAATTACTATAAACATTTTTCAACATTCAGCACCTGTAACATTCAAAAAAGGAAAAACACAAATTCCTAACTTACCTGCCAAAGAGTCCCAAAACTGCAAAGTTGAAATACCTTCAAAGGGAGCCAGAATAAGGGTAAACCTTTAACTTTTTACATATATTTCACTAAACTTCTAATGTATTTAGATCTCTGTTCAATCTGGCTCAGTTGTATACACTACAGCAAAAGATATATTTCCTAATCGAGCATATTACAAAGACTCAGTTACTGTACAACCAGGATCACCAGCCGTTTTATACGTTCCACGACATGATGCACATTTATTGAGTGGTAAAATATTCTGTAATTTGAAAGCTGGTACTCAAAACGTAGGAGGTATTATAATTGATATAATTCCTGGTGAAACCGACGCTTGTGAATCGACCCCTTGTCAAAACGGGGGTACTTGCACACCTGATGGAACAGACCACTATGTATGCACTTGTCTCCCCAATTTTAATGGTCTAAACTGCGAAAACGGTAAGATAAAAAGAAATCAAATTGATACATTTAAAAATATTTCACTTTTCCAGAAATAAAACCATGCGATTCCAACCCATGTGCGAATGGAGGAACCTGTATTAATCAAGGAAACGAATTTCAATGTTTATGTCCACCAACACACACTGGACCACAATGTACAGAAGGTAAATTTATTACCCCATCCTTGATAAGTATCAATCTCTCTTTTTCAATTTGCAGAAGTAAAACCATGTGATTCGAATCCATGTGCAAATGGAGGAACATGTATTAATCAAGGAAACGAATTCCAATGTTTATGTCCACCGACACACACTGGACCTCAATGTACTGAAGGTACAATACGATATCTTTTATCTGCATTATATAATGCTATTGTCAATTTGCAGAAGTAAAACCATGTGATTCCAGTCCATGTGCAAATGGAGGAACTTGTATTAATCAAGGAAACGAATTCCAATGTTTATGTCCACCTTCACACACTGGGCCACAATGTACAGAAGGTAAATCGCTAATTTTTCTTATCTTCCGTCAAAAAAGGTTATTTTTTAATTTAATAGAAGTAAAACCATGTGACTCCAACCCATGTGCAAATGGAGGAACCTGTGTCAATCAAGGAAACGAATTCGAATGTTTATGTCCACCAACACACACCGGACCACAATGCACAGAAGGTAAATTCATTAGCCCCTTCTTTGATAAATATCATTCCCTCTTTTTCAATTTGCAGAAGTAAAACCATGTGATTCGGATCCTTGTGCAAATGGAGGAACCTGTATTAATCAAGGAAACGAATTCGAATGTTTATGTCCACCAACACATACCGGTCCACAGTGTACTGACGGTATGCTACTGGTCTTTATAACCTATATTTTAAACAACTATATTTCACTGTGCAGAGGTTAAGCCTTGTGATTCCAGTCCATGTGCAAATGGAGGAACCTGTATTAATCAAGGAAACGAATTCGAATGTTTATGTCCACCAACACATACCGGTCCACAGTGTACTGAAGGTATGCTACTGGTCTTTATAACCTGTATTTTAAATAACTATTTTTCAATGTACAGAGGTTAAGCCTTGTGATTCTAACCCATGTGCAAATGGAGGAACTTGTATTAACCAAGGAAACGAATTCCAATGTTTATGTCCACCAACACATACCGGTCCACAGTGTACTGAAGGTATGCTACTGGTCTTTATAACCTATATTTTAAACAACTATTTTTCACTGTGCAGAGGTTAAGCCTTGTGATTCCAGTCCATGTGCAAATGGAGGAACCTGTATTAATCAAGGAAACGAATTCGAATGTTTATGTCCACCAACACATACCGGTCCACAGTGTACTGAAGGTATGCTACTGGTCTTTATAACCTATATTTTAAACAACTATTTTTCAATGTGCAGAGGTTAAGCCATGTGATTCCAGTCCATGTGCAAATGGAGGAACTTGTATTAACCAAGGAAACGAATTCGAGTGTTTATGTCCACCAACACACACCGGACCACAATGCACAGAAGGTAAATTCATTACCCCTTCTTTGATAAATATCATTCCCTCTTTTTCAATTTGCAGAAGTAAAACCATGTGACTCCAGTCCTTGTGCAAATGGAGGAACCTGTATTAATCAGGGAAACGAATTCGAATGTTTATGTCCACCAACACATACTGGTCCACAGTGTACTGAAGGTATGCTACTGGTCTTTATAACCTGTATTTTAAATAACTATTTTTCACTGTGCAGAGGTTAAGCCTTGTGATTCCAGTCCATGTGCAAATGGAGGAACTTGTATTAACCAAGGAAACGAATTCCAATGTTTATGTCCACCAACACATACCGGTCCACAGTGTACTGAAGGTATGCTACTGGTCTTTATAACCTATATTTTAAACAACTATTTTTCACTGTGCAGAGGTTAAGCCTTGTGATTCCAGTCCATGTGCAAATGGAGGAACCTGTATTAATCAAGGAAACGAATTCCAATGTTTATGTCCACCAACACACACCGGGCCTCAGTGTACAGAAGGTACAGTACGATATTTTTTTTCTTCATTATATAATACTATTGTCAAATTGCAGAGGTTAAGCCTTGTGATTCCAGTCCATGTGCAAATGGAGGAACTTGTATTAACCAAGGAAACGAATTCGAGTGTTTATGTCCACCAACACACACCGGACCACAATGCACAGAAGGTAAATTCATTAGCTCCTTCTTTGACAAATATCATTCTCTCTTTTTCAATTTGCAGAAGTAAAACCATGTGACTCCAATCCTTGTGCAAATGGAGGAACCTGTATTAATCAAGGAAATGAATTCGAATGTTTATGCCCACCAACACATACCGGTCCACAGTGTACCGAAGGTATGCTACTGGTCTTTAAAACCTACATTTTAAACAACTATTTTTCACTGTGCAGAGGTTAAGCCTTGTGATTCCAGTCCATGTGCAAATGGAGGAACGTGTATCAACCAAGGAAACGAATTTGAATGTTTATGTCCACCTTCACACACCGGACCTCAATGTACTGAAGGTACAGTACGATATTTTTTTCTACATTTTATGATGCTTTTGTCAATTTGTAGAAGTCAAACCATGTGATTCCAATCCTTGTGCAAATGGAGGAACCTGTATTAATCAAGGAAACGAATTCCAATGTTTATGTCCACCAACACACACTGGACCACAATGCACAGAAGGTAAATTTATTAGCCCCATCTTTGATAAACATCATTCTCTTTTTTTCAATTTGCAGAAGTAAAGCCATGTGATTCGAATCCATGTGCAAATGGAGGAACCTGTATTAATCAGGGAAACGAATTCGAATGTTTATGTCCACCGACACACACTGGACCTCAATGTACTGAAGGTACTGTATGATTTATTTTTTCTGCATTATATAATGCTTTTGTCAATTTGCAGAAGTAAAACCATGTGATTCCAACCCATGTGCAAATGGAGGAACTTGTATTAATCAAGGAAACGAATTCCAATGTTTATGTCCACCAACACACACCGGTCCACAATGTACTGAAGGTAAATCCTTTAACTAAGATATTCAAATGTGCAACCTTTGTTTTATATTTTACAGAAGTGAAGCCCTGTGATTCCAGTCCATGTGCAAACGGCGGAACTTGTATTAATCAAGGAAACGAATTCGAATGCTTATGTCCACCAACTCATACTGGACCTACATGTGAAGAGAGTAAGTGTTGACTTTTATGGTGTGTTGTGGAACAGTTTGATTTTTTCTTTTTTAGGTGGAAAGTGTGATTGTGCTGCTGTTAATCCTTGTACTCCTGAAAATATATCTAATGGCAAGTTTTACCATGAGCATGTTGAAGCAGCTAAGTTTTGTCAATGTGCACCTGGTAATCCTCCTCACATCCCTCCAAGATGTTTTGTAATGAGCTGTGGGCCTGGTACAGTTTTTAATCCAGCAATCAACGTTTGTGATTGGCCACATAATGTGGGTAAATAGATGAAGTTACAGTGGCATTTTAAAGAAGTTTTTTTGGAATTTTCAAGAGAGATTTACTTAAAGCCATGCAAAATTAAATTCTAATCTGGAATTATTATATAATTAACTTACATATTTTGATTGAAAAAGAATAAGTTTTCTGTTAACTTTAGAAAAGCCATAAATTTTAATTTCATGCATCTTCTTCGTTTCATAATACTACGAGTGGTTAAATCGTTACTATATTTAGTTTGTATATATCTTGATGGTATAAATGATATTTGTAATTTATAGTCTTTAATTTTGAATGAGCAATGGAAATGAAAAGAAATATAGTCATGGTCCATTGCAATGAATAACATAATACTTTATCGATTACCTTCTGTAATTTATTATCGGTGAAAAAAGAAACTGACTGGTTTAAACTATTTTATAGATGAAATTCTCAACCTTAAAGATAATCATGTCCAAATTATATAGCGTTTTCTCTCTTTCTCCTAAATGAAAGTTTTATTAACATAATACTATAGAATATGATAATAAGAATCAACACTGAACAGAGCAGATCTAGTAGTATTTGCTCGTTTTTATAAACACGAGGGAAGTCTTAAAAGTACTCCCCCGAGTAAATGTTTTTTGAGGGTAATTATCAGCGAAAGAGTTGCTGTGTTGAATCTTGTGACAAAACTAAAAATATAAGAGTAGCAATTATTGTCAAAAGATGGGGAAAACTTAAGTGTTCTTCAAAGGTCTTGTTCTACAAAAATTACCTCGTTCTTTAGGATGAAAAGTAATTATGAAAAAATTCATTTACTTATGGAGAATTAAGAGATTTTTTACGTCGTTATCTATACAGAATTGCGTAATATAAATTCTGATTACATTGTTAAAGACGAAAAGCTTACTGTACTATTTTTTTATTCCGTCGCCTAACTCTTCAACACAGTAGCTCCTATATTAGTATATTGTATCTTTTTACTTTCTGCTCCTATGCTACCACTCAAACACTCGAATACTCGCATATAGAGCATAACTAAAACTCTTTCTTTGTATTTCAAAGCTTCGAATACAACTGGGAATGGCATTTGTTATTGTTTTAGTGACAGTTGGGGAAAATAATCGTTTAAACTAACTATAATAGTCCATATTTATTTCAACCGCACCTACATTTTTATTGTATTGTTTTTTAATAAAATATATATTTCTTTAAAATCAATAAAAGATTGATTTTAGACCGATCAACAATAGAAGTATATGTTCTTTTTACTAAACTCTGACTCTTCCTTTCAGTACTTCTTTTACCAAGAATCTTCATATAGACTATTTATAGTACGGTATCTCTTTCTATACATTAAACAGTTCCACTACTACTTTAGCATATCTAATTCTCTTACTTAAGCATAAAAAACATAAATTTCCATATCTTTTTTTCTATAAAACAAAGAAAGAAAAATATTTAACTCATTTTAAATGAATTTAAGCAACTTAATGAATTTTAAGATAATTTAAATGAAATAAAGAAGCTTATTTAAGACAATCCTTCTCATTTCTCTTAAGTACGATTATTGGCGTTGACTGGTCTAGTGTCTTGTAAATTAAATAAGAAGAAATTCCTTGGTATTTTATTTGTTCATAAAACAGATTACTTTCTCCTCTTTTCTCATTTATCTGTCTCATTTACCTCTCTCTCTTTCTCCCTCTGCTCCTTTTTTCTTTTCTCTTTTTTTATCCTTGCGTCCCCTTCTCTCTCTCTCTCTCTCTCTCTCTCTCTCTAGAATTTCAATATTTCTCTTTTTCTCTTTTTCTTTTTATATAATTCTCTGTCTTTTATTCTACGTTTCTGTTTCTTTTTCTTTCTTTATCCAACTCTCTAACACAGAGTTTACTATATTCTTTATCTCTTGTTTTATTAGTAAAAAAGCTACTGTCAATGAAATCAATAGAATCAGTAAATTTTCTCATTTTTAATGATATCTTTATAAAATAGGTAAAATAGAACCAAACGCAAATTGAAAGATCTTAAAATACGTCTCCATTTATCCATAATATCTGGAACGTAAATGACTAGATGCAATTCTTTAGTACTAAACGAACTGGAGATAGAACTGAAGATTTATATTCCATTGCCATTTCTAAGTAAGGATGTAAGAAATGTAAAAAGAAGGGATTAGGTAAACATGGTAATCTATTGAGTACAAAAAGGAATTTTAGTTTTGTTGAGAGATTAATTGAATTCTTTTGAAAAGCTTTGGCAGCGATGCTTTTTGTGGAAAAGTTACCTTAGATTCTAGATATTTACTTAATTGTTAATTACATTTATAAGTTACTCTTTTAATATTACAACTTTATTTCTCTATTTCCATAAATCGACACTTTCAGATAAAAATCATCAGACATTATAGAATATATAAAAAACAGCATATCCGATATTTTTTCTTTTATTAAGACCTTGGAAAGAGAAAAAGGTTTTTATCACATGGTTCTATTACCTTCATATATTGTCAATCTTTAGATAGTCAATTGTCAGCAGACACAAATTATTTTCTCGTTGGAAATCGATAAAAGACAACTTTTTTACAATTTACCCGAAATAATTTGATTTCTAATTAACAATTAGTATTATGCAATCCTAAGCATAAAGAATCTAAAACTAAAATTTCAAACTTTGGCCTTTGTGGATAAAAAAAAGTAATTAGGTTAAAAGGCTATTTCCTGTGTAAGTAAATCTTGATTATGGATACAGATTTGGAATTTTTTTCGTTGAATTTAATATATAAATAGTTTTCAATCCGTACAAAAAAAGGAAAATATTTCCTCAATGAAATAAAAAAATTCTTCTTAAAAGAAATACAATTGATAACGAAATATACAAAAGTTTTCAAACTAAACGACATCTTTAAGCTTGACTAAATAGACAATACTGTGAAGGAATTTGAGAAGGTAAGGCAGTTAATCGATCATCGTCCGAATTAAATTCTGTTCTATCAGCAAAAGCTGCAGTTGTGCCAACATCCGGTCTGGCATTCTGTACGGTAACAAAATATAGATACAATATGAAACTGTTTCAAACCCCAATAATCGTATTAGATACTCGAGCTCTTCCTTATATAAGATTTTTGCCCGAGTCACTAACCTTCGTCATGCATTTTTCCAAACAACATGCAGCTATCGCAGTAGTGACAATTAATACTGATTGAACCGATAGGGATAAGATGATTAAACAAATCCAAACAAGATAAATTGTAGTTATTTTCCATATTTCGGAACACTTTGAATAAGATAGAATGGTTTGTTTTCTGATTTCATACCTGTAGAGTCATTATCAAAGAACATCAATCAAGATAAACAAAAGAAGATAAAATTTCATATCTTTCTTTCGCTCGCTCTCTCTCTCTTTATTTCTTGCTCAAAAAATGCTAATTCTTTTGGGATATATCAAATGATTAAGGTTACATTACCTACTAACGGATACAATTACGGAAATTCTAATAGATGATCACTCAAATGGTGAGTGCTTCTATGGAAGAATTTCTTTTAAAAAGGGTATAGGGAATGAGCAAGAATTCGTCTACAATGTGCTGGTTTTTCTCTTTGTTGCAGGGAAAACTTAATCTAAACGTTTAGACTCACCACCTGCAGATACACGAATCATTTTCTTGTGAGCACAATCCATAAATTTGCGTCGTAACCCCAAATTCTTCTGGTTTCAACGCTTTAACCATAACAAGAATAATATAGGCTAGGACGAAAACCAGGAAGCTTATTGACAACCAGAGCCTCATCTGTTGGTTTGCATAAGAAAAAAATGTTTCTTTTCAAATAACATTCGCTAGTGATTTATTTTAATATGTTTCTACCCATAGCTTTGCTCCCTTTAATGCACTTAGTAAACCACAAATACCGGATACAATTATCTGTTTTTATTATGAAAGAATAAGTAAAGTATATTGCCGATTCTTTTTACTTTTTATTATTATTTTTCTTTTTGGAATTTATAAGAAAATAAATTTAAAAGCGTCAGAAGCAGGAGCAAAATTAATAATTACTGCAATTCCAAACCACCACAAAGCAGGAAAATTTTCCCTCTTCTCGTAGGCCACTACTTTTAGATAAATTTCCGAGGCAATTCCTACAGCGGTTACAGTGCAACCTAGGGGGAAAAAATACAAGAACATTTTTAGGAATAAATCACTGTGATTTATATATTTTTCGTTTATTCTTTTTAGGTGAAAGGCGCCATAAATTCGCAAAAGATTCGCCTTCTTAATAGAATTTTCCTTACTCTCTGCTTATGTTAGAAGAATTTGATTAGATCTTTAAGTAATCGTTTTAAATAATCAAAAAGAATACAATTGAATAAATGAAAAAGCTTCTTGATATATTTACGATTAAACGAAATGGTTTTTGACCCCGAAAGGAGTATTGTACTTTTATCTTTTATCTAAGTTAAGCAGTGATCTTTAATGGAAAAAATATATGTTTTTTTTTCTATTTTACCATTAATCTATTGACCTTAATGTAAAAATTTTCTCCTCTTCGTCCTTCTCCTCCTAACCTTTTTCACCTTAACATTACCCATCCCCCGTCCTGACTTTTTTTTTCTCTTCTACCATACGTCAACTGCGAAAAGTTATTTTGTTCTGTAAGCCAAGAAAATGGGCTATGATTTATATTTACTGTCAGTTCAGAAGCATAGCAAGTCGCCTGTTTGTCTTTTTCTATTCGCTTATACATGACTTCAATTTGGTCAACTATTTACATAGTAATAAATTAGATGGTAAAATAAACAATAAATATCAATTTATAACGCATCTTACTTAATTTAATAGCCGTGGGCGTCTAAATAAAGGTGAAGAGAACAATTCATTCATAAAGATGATAGCCTTTTTGTAATTTATTTATGTTTATCATCATAAAAAACATTTATAGAGAAACCTTTAAAAACTAGAGTATAAATTAAAAATAGCCTAATGTAATGGTATCATTTTATTTTTTTATAGTCAATTAAGAAAGGTTACATGATTCATATATAATCTACATATGTAAATGATCAGTTTTTAGTAGGAATTGAATGCAGTTTAAACGCAAAAAAAACCAGAAATACATAAAATAGTCAAATGGCAAAATTTTAGTATTTAACTTACCAACAATAGTTTGTAGAGCGTGTAAAGAAACTAGACAGTTACGAAGACTTCGATTCTCATGCTTAAGTTGAAAATTTGTATTCATCGTTGAAAACTAAACAAGTAAAAACAGAATAATATAGATATGTTGGGCATTAAATAATAGTAATTTTTTAAAGCATCCTCTAAAGAATAATCAATATAACTTATATAGATTTTTTTCTAAATTGCACTCTTATTTGTACTTTGTTACGTTTAAAGAAAATCGAAGTTTTTGTACTCTTACGTACACATCTATTTTTTACCGGAAGCCAAGAAAAGAGATTGAAGCTAACCGTGAAGAGAGAATCCGATAATTAATCACTGTTTTAACGACCTATAATTATCCGTAAAGCATCGGACATTCGTAATGTAAAGCAAAACTTTCCACCATCTGTGTTCGTCTAGGGCAAACTACAATTAGACAACGCCAAAAGCGCGCCACTTTGAGCACGTAGGTCAATTGAGGCGTGACGTCATTAGAACGTCAGTAGCTGATTGGCCATAGTTTAATAGGTTTGCAAGTTTTTCATTTCAAGAAATCGTTATCAGTTTCTTTATTTACAATAATTCTACTTTAGTCTTACCACGGACGCTTTTCAATTAGTCATCAATTAATTTATATTGACTGATTAATTTAGAAACTTGATTGGTTGGCTTTTGCAAATGTTTGCTCAGGCAAAAGACAAGCAGCTTACCTCTCTTTTCTCTTGTCTTGAAAACTTACTTTTGAAAAGTTGGTGAACCGAGTCTTGTAATCTTTTTTCCTTTCAAATAAGAAGAAAAATGCCTTTCTATTTCTTGCTTCGTTTAGTGTATTTTTAACCTCAGTAACTCTTTCCACAGCTTTTACCTTAAAGAGTTAAAATATTGTACTAGAATGTTGAGTGAAAGAAAAAATAACAGAGTATAGACTATAATAAAATACCTTATTATTAATAAAAAATGGCGTTTTATTTTTCTACCTGTAGAAACTAGCAAAAATACCTAGACTTCGCGAACAATAATCGGCA